TACAGCAGCTTTCTTTTTCTTTCTTTCTTTCTTTCTTTCTCACTCTCCTCCCTCCCTCCTTCCCTCCCTCCCTCCCTCCCTTCTTTCTTTCTCCTTGCTTCCTTTCTTTTCCTTCCCTTCTGTCTGCTTCCTCCCCTTCCCCTTCCCCTTCCCCTTCCCCTTCTCCCTCATCTCATCTCATCTCATCTCTCCATATATATAAATAAAATATATTGTTCAGTGGCACACTCAGCTTCTCTCATTCAGCTGTCCCAAGAGGAAATTGGCCGATTGAATGCTGCGCATTTACATTATGTGCATTTATTTTTAAAATGCATATGCTGCCCATTCCTCTTTAGGGTGCTAGCCAATTTACAAGTAGTGGTGGCAATAATCATGTTTAAAACCAGGCTGGGAAGGTCTTTAAAAATGCTGTTAGATTCCCTAAGAAAGGCTGAGTTCGACTCAGGATGACTTAAAGCCCAGATGAATCTGTGAAAGGCTTTGCAAAGCCTTGTTTTCACTGGGAACTATTGTCCTAGTTTTCGGGAGTTATCCCTGGGATTATCCATTTCACACATGCAAGCTCCTGTTGAGTTCTGCAACACAATTGCAAACCTAATCTTCCAGAAACAAGGTTGACAGGTGGAATCTTCAGTGATTACCCAAATAAGTCTGGGTATTGGCAAAGGATTAAAAAAAAAAAATCTGGGTTTGAGACAGCCATGTAACATGCTTTACATAATGGTTGAAACTTGTTAATAATCTATTATGTCTTAGATATTTGTACGGTGGGGAGCAACGTGAGAATATCAGTTGACAGACTTTTCCCATCACAGTTGAGAAACAACCAAAAGCAAGCACATTTGAGATGTTTTAAAAACCATTGTATGAAAGGAAGAGTTACAAAATTAATACATAATATAATATATACAATATTATAAACATCTGAGGCTGAGGTCCTATGAATCTTGACTTCATCCATTGAATCAGTTGAAACCATTATTAGTTACTGCATATTGGAGCTGGGACAAGAAAAAATATGCAATTATAAGGAAAGGGACTGCATTTTTTTCTCTGTCAGAATTTTGAGATTTATAAGATTTGCAAAGCAGGAAGGAAGGCAACAGATTATTACGGTATGTTCCCCTGCTAAATTTCTGCCCTTCATGCAGCTAGAAAAGGAGCTAGAAAAAAGGACGTAAGTCTCTCTCACTGTCTTGAAACATGCATAAAAGTCCGTAAGACCACATGACACCATAAAAATGGAGGTTAAATCCCCGTATCATTCTGTTCCTCTGAATTTATGAGTCCTTCATTTGTTCACTGAAATTATTCTAACTGCTACCTCTCATCAAAGGGCTCTACGTGCAACCAAACCCTGATAGCAATATTCCTTGGAGCCTTGCTCTGCCTTCCTTCCCTCTATCATTTTACTTTGTTCTAATTAAAAATGACAAAGTTATTACATAAAATTCACTAATTGTGCCTTTATAGCTTTCTCGGTACTTCAAAATGCAAATCCCAGGGATGATGCTTTGAGAATTCATGCAAAAGAGAAAAAAAAATAATAGGCCACAAAAAAGAAGGGGCGTAATTAAACCACTGTGTGCAGAAGAATACTGGCAGAGAAACAACAACCACCGCCTCTTAGGACCACACTGTATGTAAATGTTGTTACTTGTTTCAATAAGT